AAGGAGGGTCTAGAAGTGTACGGAATGTTGAAGGAAGGAATAGGGTTCAAGGACTACCTACATGGACCAATGGATGCAGGAACAAAGCTTAAGGTCAAATTCAGGACCGGGGACATAGGCCTTCGAGAACGTCGACGAAGACATAGGACGGTAGACGACGAAGACGACGAGTTCAAATGTGATTGCGGCTTCGAATGCGAAGACCGTGTTCATGTAGTCGCGGAATGTCCGTTGTACAAGAAGGAGAGGGAAATGTACGTGACTGGGCTGGGAAAAATTGATGGGACGTACAGGGAGATGTTTGAGGCATGCAATAGAGAGGAAAGGACGGTAGCTGTACTGGGGCATAGGAGGTGGGTTGAAAAGGCGGGAAGGGATATCGTTAGGACATACAGACTAAGGAAGACATTTTTGAGCCACCTTTGGCAAAGTAGAAAGGAACGATTGGCCATCGGTGATCGGTCCTGTGGGAACAATGCTCCGTCCTCTCGAGGACGCGTGGTCAATGGTCTGACCGCCAAGACATGCAAAACATTTGAGTACGCCCCCCTCCCCAACCCCAGCTATTGTAGGCGCCAGCTAAAACAAATCCCCTTGCAAGCGGCTAGCCTGCTGCTGCTGCTCCTGCCGCTCCACACTGCATGCGTTCGAGCTTGGTATCTCTGGCGCACACGAACGCGCGCTCGAACACACCCGAAACACACAGAAAGCATGGGACTTCCGTTATATATAGAACACCTCCGTCAAACGTAAACAGACTTCACTCGTACCTTCTTCTTCGTCACCGCGCTTCTCCATCTCACCCGAAGAGGTGTCTAGAAAACGACGGATGAACACTAGACTACCACGTTCAGAAACACTCGGGAAGCTTGGCTTCTTGACCGATCCCGGACGTTCTCCGCCATGGGACAACGGCAATCGATCAAAACCATCCACGTGAGGCAGCGATAGCGCGGTTTTGTCCTCGGTTCCGTGTGCCTACCTAGCTTGTTAGTGCTCGTGCTGGCGCTGGTGCTATTAAATCGGTTTCGGGAACGGGAAGCTGTTGTGTGTTTGGCGGGAACTCGCGAGCGGTGCTGTTTCGGCGTGCTGATTTGGATGTCATCATGTGCGTCGATTCCACTCATGTGTCCTGTTTCCCCACTCGGTAAGCGTGTACTCGGCTGGGGAAATCCGTGCGCTTATACAAAGCAAACCGTAATAGAGCACTCAATCACTCTATACCAGACAGGGCCCCACGCATATACAAGCAATACAACGCTCCCGGCTACATCTCCGCATGCGCACCTTGTTCATGACCCTGGCCATCAGAGCCGCGGTCCCCTCCATCTCGCGCGGCGCGGGCCTCGCCACGGAGCTAGCGTCCACGGTTCCCGCTGCCAACGCCTCGTTGGACGGTTGCAAACCCAGAGACATGTCCTGCTGGGCCGTGCGCGTGAAGTGTGACGTCTGCCGTGACATCACGTGCGGCGTGGCGTGGTGTCGCGGACGCGGCGGGAGGTGATCAGAGGATCGGAGGGGAGGGGCGAGGAGTCGGGGGGGGCTACGGCATGCTGTCGTCTAGACAGAGGGGTGCACGCACACCATTGCTGGGCGTGACGGTGTGATCCTCAGGGTCGACAGTCCTTGAGAACGCTGGTGCTAACCTACGGCAGTACTGCAGTCGGGGGACCCCCAACGACGGCGCACATACCCGTGCGATTTGTTCCCTTCGCCGCAAGGATTCGTTCCTGCTGTTGCGGTTGTTTGGTGTCACGTAACCTCATGTCCCAAACAATAGCAATCAACAAATCCATCAACGTAGGCACACCTGCAGCGTTCTCAACGCCCGTTTCGTCAGCACTGCCTTGTCCGCCCCTTACCTTAAGGGCGGGGTCTTTGTTCGGCGCGGAAGGATTTTCGACGAAGGAGTTGCCGGACGGATCTTCCACCACCATGGTGAACGGAAGCTCGGAGTCCATTCCGGTGCTCATGAGCGTCAGCCGCGCGATGACCCCGGCGATCTGGGCCCCGACCTTGCGGGTGTTACAAGATGAACACGCGACGGACGTTTATTGTTAAGGGCCGACCGTGGGGTGGAAAAATTCGGAGGTGCGCATGTAGACGTAGACGAAGTGATCGGGGAGATGATAGGCGTGCTTCCGGTTGCACTGGTGGAGAGAGGCAAACTGGATCCAAACCGTCACGAGACGACTCATGTAGTTAGTTCCGCACCTTTCGGTGATGTGCTATAGTCTCGCCTTCTTCTTTCTTCTTCGCTCTCTCTCTTTCCCTCTCTCTCGCCCTGCTCGTCTGTCTGTCGGTCTGCCTGTATCTGCATTTTTCTCTCAATCTCTCTCGAACACAAACGGGCTAGCATACAAATTCCCAGTGCTTTACTCGCACCTGTAGCATACTGCGACATCTTAACGGAAGACTACATCTAGCAACGAGCGCAACGAGCGCACCGGTCTTCCCAGACGCTCTTGGGCTTTCCCTCCCTGTCCCTGTCCCTCGTAAATATTGCTTCCCCTCGACAAACCAACACCACGCAAAGGCCTTGGGATTCTCCTAAACACCCCCGCCAGAGCCACCCACAGCATACCGAGTCAACAAAATGGCAAACGACACACCACAGCAGTACACACACGTTCGAAAACCAAGCGGCGTCCAGACCGCCCCGCCCTCCCCTCTCCCGCCACATATTTCTGCGCTGTCTGCCCCTTTTTCTCTGCCTTCCGCACCTTAACCCGACTCCTGCTACCCTCCCCTCGCCCCACTGCTTCTCCTATCGTCACCTCGGGCGACCTTTCCATGCGGAGATCTTGCGCCTCCCCAAGCTTCTCGGCGGCCGTCCTCAGCAGCCCCTCAATCGTGGTGACCTCCCCCCGCTGCCTCGGCGGGATCTGGAACTCCATCTCGCGGAACGTTACCGTGGCGAAGTCCGACTTGATCACCTGTCTGCAGGGAGTCGGAGGTCGGAGAGCGCGTGGTCAAGAACAGCGGGGAAAGAGTGTGTGCGTGCCGCGCAGATACCGTGCGTGGCTTGCAAGCGTAGGAAGAGCCAGCCGGACCAACAGAGCAAGATGGTGGTCGGCATCATATGTGTCAACCGAAATTCTCATCGTTCGAGGGAGAATGCTTTCGCTCGAGCCGAAACTCGTGTCAGCAGCTTGACAACAAAAATCATCTTCAGCAGCAGGAGCGGGGTGCAGAGATGGTGCTTGTCGCGGACCGGAAAAACCGCCTTGGCGGACCAACCCGCAAAGCTCGCCACGAACACCAACGAAATTATTAAGTCGCAACAAAACGTCGAAAGCTCCTGTCTGACGGTAGGGTACACGCCTAGGGTACCTGTTGAGGTCTTTGGCGTTGTTGACCGTGAGCTCGAAGATGCACCCTTTTTCCTGCAGCTCGCCTCCAAATATCACCTTCACCAAGAAGCAGTCAGCAGCAGGGAGGACAGATGGCAAGGAACCGAGCGTAAGTACGTGGCGGTTCTACGCACATAACATAGGCCGAGTTTAATGCCAGGAACATCGTCGGATTGTCGTCGAACGGTCGTTGCTGAGTGATTGAACCCACCACGTTCTTTGTAGCCAATATGGGTGTCCTTGCCACCAAACCTCACTTAGCGTTAAGGCCTGGTCGTACGAAAGCTTGTAAAACGATACTAACCGACAGTTTCGAAGTCGAAAATGTAAAAAAAAGCGAGTTCTGAATAGCCATAAGAACAAATACCTCTGGAAGACGTCACGTGGTTGCAGGTAAACGCTGGCAGCAACAACAACCAACCCCCTAGGGACTTGAAAGACCCAAACCATCAAGGGATCACACGGTCGTCGTCGTCGTCGTCGTCGTCGTCGTCGCTGTTGCTGCTGGTGGTGGTGGTGGTGGTTGTGGCGCTATGTTGGCTGTGGAAGAGTTCTGCTGATGCATTTTGGCTTAATGCCAAACGTTCCAACGGACAGAGGTATGCTCCCCGCCGCCTCCGACCGCGGGCTGTCGACATACGAGGAAGCAGAACTGAAAAATCTTCGCATACATGTCATTGTGTAGGTTCAGTCAAAGCCTCGAATTAAAATCGCGTTGTTCCACGGCTCGACTTCATGGCACAAGCGCACCGTCTACGTAATGTGTACACTTAACACAAGATGGACACAGGATACACAGATTCGGACCGGGGTTCCAATTTTTCCATTTAAACAAGCAGATTCAAGGATAAGCACGTTTCCTGGAGACTTTGCGCAGGAAAACATTTTCAGATTAAAGGCGGCTTCATGTGATTGCCTGTGGGGCAACAGTCCTCCTAATTGTCGTGGCCGCGCTGCACGACCGCTGCACCTCCCACTGCTGTTGAGTGTGTGCGGCGTGCATGCGTGCGCGCGGCTGCGTCGCTCGTTCAACCCCAGCACACGAAATTGCACCACTACGGAGACAGGAAGTACTAGTGGTGGCCGGCAACCTCTAAATGACGTGCTATGTCGCGTGCCAAGCGTTCTGGAGAGGGGTTTGGGGAGGGGGGCACATCCAAGTCAAACACTTCTAGTAAACGGGGCCAATGGATACGGGCGAGCTTACAGCGTTCTACACGAGGCAGCGAGACAAGACGTATCGGTGGTAGGAATGCAGGAGACATGGAGGGCAGGTAGAACGGAATTTGCAGCAGCGGGTTTCCGGGTGTTCTGCTGTGGCACGGAGACTGGTGGAGTCCATGGTGTGGGAATAGCCGTCAAAGAGTCACTGTGCAAGACATCCACGTTCACTGCGGAGTTTATCGACGAACGCCTTATGGCCATGAGGTTTCTGTTGGCAGGCCACCGTGGAGCGGTCAACTTCGTAGCCGCGTATGCTCCAACCGAACCTTTAACCGCCGACAGCAAGCGCGTGTTCTGGGGAAAACGTGACAGTCTCGTGCGGAGCATCCCTTCCAAAGAATGTGTGTATGTCCTATTGGACGCCAACGCGCGGACGGGAGATAGGTTGGACGGAGGGGACGGAAGGGTAATAGGAATGTACGGGCGTGATGAGCTCAACGACAATGGCATGCTACTGTTGAACTTCGCAACGGAAAACAGGCTAGCTCTCACGAACACGTTCTTTGAGACACGCAAGGGCGGAATATGGCACACATACAACGGTGTGTCGGGAAACGATTGCAAGCGCCTTGACTACATCCTGACAAGGCAGGCACATCACGGCCGAGTATCTAACGTGGTCGTCATCCCCCAGCCGGTTCGCCCAGTCAAAGCAGACTCCGACCACAATATGGTAGTAGCCACCGTCAACCTCGGTGGCAGGCTTGCCCACAACCGTGCAGTCCGGACTAAACCGAAACAG